GGCGCGTTGGAGCTAAGTGGAAGAACTTGAAGTTCATAAGTTGATTCAATTTGGTATTGAGGTGCGATTTCTAGTTTCGCTGTCATTTGACAGGTTTGGAGAGTTTGAGCAGGTCTGTATTATGTTTATGGACTTTTTGGTATATTTGGACGGGGTCCCTAGTGGCTCGGGTGAATTTCAAACCACCCGGAGATAAGTTGGAAGAAAGACCAGATTTTTCAGTTCTGGTTTCCTTCTTCGCGAACGCGGAAGGACTCTCGCATTCGCGATGAAGGATTTGGGGAGCTGGGCAGTTACCCTTCGCGTTCGCGGGTAGGGGGTCGCATTCGCGAAGCTTGGGGATCCCAGGCCTACGCATTCACGAAAGCGTTCTCGTGTTCGCATAGAAGGACGTGGCCTAGGAGGGATCGGCACATTTTACCCTTCGCATTCGCGAAGGAGCTCACGTGTCCGCGAAGGGTAGGCCAAGTAAGCCTTAGCATTCGCGAGACCCCTGTCGCGTTAGCAAATGGAATTTTAAGGGCCTAGGGAATTTTTCCTTCACGAATGCGAGGCACTTACCACGTTCGCGAAGAAGGATTTTACTTTGCCGGACAGAATGTTTTAAAAACGGGGCTCAACTATTTTTGAGCCCATTTTCTTCATCCTTGGCGATCTTTGAGCTTCTTGAGCGAGGTATTCACCTAGCAACTTGGAGGTAAGTAAATTCTACCTATTGTAAGTTAAATACATAGATTATGGGTAGATTTTAACATGTAATTTAGCAAACATTGTGGGTTTAGATGAAAAACCTAGGTTTAGATGAAAATGAGATTTTAACCAAGAAAATGGTTATGGAATGAGATGCAAATTATATATTTGAGTTCTTAAGGTTATAGGTGACGATTTCCTTCAAACATTTCAAGAATCCGGGCACGTGAGCCCGGGGTGAATTTTAGAAATTCTACCAATTGGGGTTGGAAAATTAATCTAATAATTTAATTTCGAATTGTTGAGTATGTATTGATTAAATTATATAATATTTGACTAGTTTAGGATTTTTTGACCCCAAATTGAGGCTTTAGCGTGAAATAGTGACTGGGAAGTGAGCTTTGAGACGAGGTAAGTCTCTTGTCTAACCTTGTAAGAGGGAATTTATCCCACAGCTGATTTAAATTAAATGTTGCTACAATTTGTGGGGGCTACGTACGTACGAGGTGATGAAAGTCCGCGCGTAGCTACTAATTATGCTTATGTCCAAGTAGTTTTAGGACCCAATGCATGAACTATTTGAAATTTTGGCACCATACTTGTTAAATTAAAATGCCCAACTTATATTAGGCCTTGTTTGAGAAATTGTGGAAGATCGCTAACGATATTCGTATTATTTTGTGTATGAAACCTTAATAACGTTAAGTCAAATGCTTATAAAGTATCCTTCTCTTCTTATGGAGCGGGCCGAATACCTCGGCAGTAGATAGATGCATCTATGATTTGTGCCGCTCGACCTTCGGTAGTGTACACATTATTCTGGATCAGACCGTACAACCTCGACATAAATCGTGCTTAATAATAAAAAATACTCGGTACTTTGATTTTTTTTATTGCAGCTTGTGAAGATAAATGACTTATTGAAAATTATTAAATTATGAAAGAATTATTTTCCCCTTCTTGCTAAGGAAACTTGTGATTATTCACATAACCCGTGTTTATTTAAATATTTCTATCTTAATATTATTGTCCCATAGTAAGTATCAAAGTCGACCCCTCGTCACTACTTCTTCGAGGTTAGACTTGATACTTACTGGGTACACGTTGATTTATGTACTCATGCTACGCTTTCTGCACTTTTTGTGCAGGATCTGAGACAGGTCCATCAGGTGGTCCTACCTGCGCGCATCCCAGTTATCCCGAGGCCTAGTGGTGAGCTGCCTTCTAAGCCGTTCTGCAGCCCCTAGAGTCTCTCTTTTGTAATTGTATTCTGTCTATTTTATATTGGCCAAATAGGTGTACGACCCCTTAAACTTGGATCCAGTTTCCATTTTGACACCTTAACTTAGCCCTTTTCCTATTGAACACTTTAACTGTGCTTTGGACTATACCATTTAAACACAATGCATGACCGGGCTATAAAAGCTTTAGCGCGTGTTTTTAAACGCTTCCCACGTGGAATAACATACCAATAATAGAATGACACGGGTTTATTTATCCAGGTCGGATAAAAAACCCTGTTTTTACCCTACCCACATACCTCGCCTCACTTAATCGATCTTCCACCCAAAATCCCCTTTCTTTAGCCTAATAAACCCTAATAAACTACATTGAGACCGATTCCCGGTGGAATTTTCATGATTTTGAGTTAGATTCAACTGTCCGTCAACTATTTGGCCATTATATTACTAATACGGGTAATCGTTTGCTTCTTTTGACCGTGGTGGTGAGTGGAGTTGGTCGTAACTAGAGTTGGTCGTGACTGAAGTCTTGAGGGTCTAGACACGTCTGCAGACGAATATATTCTTGTTGATTTTCACCATGGTGGACATATTGTCAAGGATCCTGTCCCGAGATATGTAGGAGAGAGTGGTGAGGATGGTCACATGATAGACAAGGACCACTTTTCTCTTTTTGAGCTTCTGTCCTACACAAAGGATATGGGTTATGCTGAGGTAGAGGGTTTTTATTTAATTAATCCTAAATCTAATGACTTTGTCTTGATTGAAAATGATTAACAACTGTATAATATAGCTTGTCACCTTAATCATCTTGATCATTTAGATTTGTATATTAATCATGTAGTTAATGAGCCTGTGTTGCTTGATGAGACTGTTCCATGTGGCCTTTTATGTGGGCTAGAAGTTGTTGAACCAAGTAAAAATACATTAAATAAAGAGTCTAGGGCAACATCTGCTGTTCCAGAGGATATAAATGTCCAAGAAAGTGCTGTAAATAATACATCTGTGCCTGAGGAAAATCTAGCTGATGTTGGAGTTGCAGGTGAGAATTTACAAGGGGCTAAAGAAACAACAAACATAGATGCTAGTTTGGCATCAAATCTGTCAAGTAGTGAGTCTGAATTAGATAACATTCCTGATGAAGATGATAGTGATGTGAATGAAGAGCTCAGTTCATTAAGGCATGAAAGAAGAAAGAAGAAAACACACAAGAAACAAAGAAAGAAACCTACTCCAACTGAAGAGATTATTCTGGGAGAAGCTGGAATAGATAAAGGCTTTGATGATATTGGCAGACCATCTAAGGAGGACATGTTTGCTAGAAAATTAGGAGGGGATGAAGACTACTATACCAGTTCTGATATTAGAAGTGATGATAGCACAGATGAGTTAGATGTTTTAGCTGAACGAGGTATTGACTTACCTCCTAGAAGGAGAAGTAAAAAGGTAAGATTTGACCCTGACTGTTACCTTGCTATTTTTGAGCTTGGTATGGTATTTGAAAATGCTGTAGAGTTTAGAAAAGCAGTAGCCTCATATGCTATGGAGAACAAAGAGCAACTAACAATTAGGCCTAATGAAAAGGATAGGGTTAGAGTTAAGTGTAAAGGAGCCAAGTGTAACTGGGAATTGAATGCAAGCAATTATGGAGATTCATGTGACTTTACTGTTAAAAAGTACCATCCAGCTCATAAGTGCAACACCAAAAATAAGAACAAATTATGTACTTCTAAGTACATTGCCAATAAGTATAAAGATAGGATTATTTCCCAGCCAAATATTAAGTTGTGAAAGATTCAGGATTTGGTCAGGGATAAGTTAGGTTTGTATGTTGGAAGGACTGTTTGTTACAGGTCTAAGTGTAGGGTGATAAGTCAATTCATGGGTGACTGGAGGATGGAATTTAACAGACTTGCTGATTGTGCTGATATTATTAAGCAAACAAATCCTGGGAGTTCATGCTGGATCAGAACAGATAGTGAGACTATTCTTGGAAAGAATCTGTTTGTCTATTTCTATCTATGTTTAGATGGTTAGAAGGGTGCAGAAGGATTATAGGATTTGATGGTTGTTTTCCAAAGGGAATCTGCAAGGGTGAGTTACTTGTTGCAGTTGGTAGAAATGGGAACAATCAAATGTTTCCTATTGCATGGGCTGTAGTTGATCAAGAGACAAAACACTCCTGGAGCTGGTTCATCACATATTTGATTTCAGATTTACAGTTGGAAGATGGTGTTGGCTTAACTGTTATGTCAGATATGCAAAAGGTAAAGTTACAATCAACTTTTAATTTTTCTTTTTCCTGCTTTATATATACCGTCCACTAATAGTTATTACTTTTTTTTGTAGGGATTAGTACCAACTATAAGGGAATTACTACCAATGGCAGAACACAGAATGTGTGCTAGACACATTTAGTCTAACTGGTCCAAGAACTGGAGAGGTAAAGAAAGGAGGAAACAATTCTGGAGATGTGCCAAAGCATCTTATGAAGTAAAATTCAAGGAAGAACTGGAAGCAATGAATAAGGTTGGTTATAAGATATGTGAAGACTTGTTGAAGTATGATAAAGAGTATTGGTGTAGGGCATACTTTAGAGAAGATTCAAAGTGTGATGTCATTGAGAATAATATGTGTGAAACATTTAATTCTTGGATAGTAGGTCCTAGGCAAAAGTCTGTTATAACTATGTTGGAAGAAAATAGACATAAAATCATGAATAGTACCATTGAAATGAGGAGGTTTGCTGAGACTTGGGTTAATGACATTGCACCAATGGCTAGGATGATACTGGAAGAGAACAAAGCCCTTTCTAGGAGGTGTAAGTTTATGTCGAATGCAGAACATGGGTTTGAAGTTGATGAAGGTGTGTACAGATTCATTGTTAATTTTAGGACCATGACATGTACTTGTAGATCATGGATGTTGAGGGGCATTCCATGTCAACATGCAGTATGTGCATTCTATGATAGAGAAATGGACTCAGATGATTATGTTGCCCACTGGTATAGGAAGAAAACTTTTCTTAAAGCTTACCAGCATTTCATATAACCAATTCCCAACATGAAGATGTGGTTGGATTCAACAAATCCATCTATAGAGCCTCCGGAACCTAAACCTATGCCAGGTAGACCAAAGAGTTGTAGGAGAAAAGCCAAGGATGAACCAAGAAAAAAGCATGGTAAACTATCAAAGAAAGGGGTAAAGATGACTTGTTCAAACTGCCAACAAACAGGACACAACAAATCTGGATGCAGGAAAGGGGTAAGTTCTGATATTTGTAATTCTGTCTTTTACATTCTTTTTTTGCAATTCTGACATTCTTTTCTTTTACTTCTGTCAGAATGTTCCAAGAAGAGCTACTCAACAAAGTCAAAATATGCCACCACCTCCACCAACATCATCTCAGGAAATACCATCTCAACAAAGCAATACATCCTCTATATGTGAGGATACAAGTGTTGTCAAAAGACAAAGCAACAACCAATCAACTGGGATTGGTAGAGGAAGAGGAAGAGGAAGAGGAAGAGGAAGAGGAAGAGGCCATGGACTATGTAGAGTAAAAGGAAGAGGAACTACACTAGGAGGAGGCTCGGCTAATGCAGCAACCATTAGACATAAAAGGCCAAGGCATAGTGGTTTTGGGATTTTCACTGACACTATGACTGGAACTACTATCCTGTATGTAATGGTGTATAGTTTATTATAATGCAGTTTTGTGGGCTCGAATTGTTCTGTTTTTTACTAATTCATTGTATTCTACAGCCTGGTATATCATCTGAGAGAGTCATATCAGCTGGAACATTCAAGGATACATCTGCAACTAACATAGACATTGGATTTAAGCCCCCCGGATTGAAGTTTAAAGGAAGAAATGCAGTGACAAGGTCACAACTTCAGCAAATGAGTGCACCAAGGAAAAAAGGTTCTTCAAGTCAAACAAGTTCAGATGTATCTACACTGTGAAGCAGACCAGTTTTTATTTATGTTATCTAAGATGTCACTACCAATTTTTTGTTTGGGCAGTTATGCTCTATTAGAGTTTACTAGTTTGGGCAGTTATATGTTTGGGAAAACAATGCTCTATTTTTTGTAATTTGTAGACCAAAAATAATGCTCTATTTTGAGCTTGGATGTAATGCTACTCCATCACATTATGCAATGGAATGTTTAGGCAGTTATGTTTTCAATTCATGAATATGAATTTGTATTTCATTCATAACACATTATGAAAGTGCAGATGAACTTAAATTTGCATCAAAAATTGGTCATTTCCATTTATTCATAATAAGAGAGTGTACATTAACAAAAGGCCAAATTCCTAGTACCTACTTCCAATATACTACATTTTTCTTGAACTAATAGCAGCAACTACAACACTATTAGCACCAGCATATCATAAAAATACTACATTGTTCTTCAAACCACCAGCATCACCAAAGCCAAATCCATAGAAACAGCACCACCACCACAACAAATAACCACTTCAACCACGCAACTGTTTTCTCAGTTCTTTCGACTCTCTTCAACAGACCCCGTATAACCCTCTTAGCTTGGTCAAGCATTTCATCATCATGCCATCTGAAATATTTGTAGCCACCTCGACCCTACAAAATTCAAAAAGAATGCGGCCAAAAAAAATTAAAAATAGATTTCTTTATTAAGAATTCAAGGGTCTAACAAAAATAATACGATCGACTTACCAATTTACAACCATAAAATCGGCGACCTGGATTTGCAGATGACCATGATATAGTCAGTGGCGCATTAAATCCACAGTGGCAAGTTTCCATTCCATTGCGAGAAGTTGTTGATTTTTGCGACATGGAACTGATAAACGAGAAAGATGAGGAAGAAATCAGATCAAGATTCAAGCTTGGGCACCTAAGCTTCAGAAGAAGGGGGAATGGCGAATTTGCAAGGGAAGAAGACGAAAGAGGAATTAGGGCATTCTTGAGAGAAAAAATGGGAAAATCGGGTGTTTTAAAGTAGGTCTAACGGGTGTATTTTATTTTTACCGTTGGAATATTCACCTAAGTAAATATTAATAACATTCACGCGCTTATCATGTGTCGACATAACGCTCCTTTGGCCGGACATGCGTTGTGTTTATATGGTATACACCAAAATAAAATTAAAGTGTTCAATAGGAAAAGCGCTAAATTAAAGTGTCAAAATGGAAATTGGAGCCAATTTTAAGGGGCCGTCTATATATTTGCCCTTTTATATTCAGACAATAGTTAGAATTTTGTATAATCTACTAGATGCTCATATACTTGTGACAGCAGGTCTTGGCACACACACTAGTAGAATTATGGTTTTGGGCTGATACTTTGGTTATGAATGCACTCGGCTGTTTGTTTTATTTATTTAAACCTTTTGTTTTCTTAAATCTTGCAAATAAGGAAAATTTATTACTCGAAAACTTATAAAAAGAGGAATAATCTGTCTAATTCACTATTTGGGTTGCCTAATGGTAACTTTGGGCGCCATCACGACGTATTGGTGAAATTGGATCGTGATAATAGGCCAATTGGCCTAACCATATTTTTATGCATAGTTTAGTATATTTTTCTTTGTGTCTGATTTATCACCGTCCAAGGTTTGCAAATCTTAGCTTCCGTATGACACCCCGTTGTTTTCGATCCCAACAAATGGTATCAGAGTTAATGGTTCAGAGCTAATGGTTCAGAGACAATGATTGAAGTGAGATCAAGCAACCATATTTTCAAAAAACCTACGGCTGCATATACAAAAACTTTAGATAAGCATCGAGTGATCACCCACAATTAAATTCCTTTCACTCTTTTTTTTTTTTGACGAGCACCCATGACTTTAAAATCTTGGATTCGCCACCGATATATTATTGCACGGTTTAGTTCATCTTGTCATTCTATAGTTGTTCTAGGTATCCCCTACCATTGTAGTATTTTATTTCATAACTGAGCAAACACTTCGCATTTAAAGAATAAATGAGAGATGATTTTCATCTATGTTAAACATAAAGAGACCTTAGTAAATTCCCTGTCATCATGTTTTACATTCTCTTATAGAGAACTTTTTAATGTTCATTAAATCATTTTCCTATAGCCATGACAACATAAGTCTTTACCTTTAATATTTTTTGAACTATCTAACTTCTGAGAAGTCTATTTTGGTTCACTATCTCACAAACATGTAATTATTATTTTTCATGTTTGCAGAAACTCACCATCGCCGTCCGACGAAATGAAGCAGTATGAAGCTCATTCTTTTGCTTTTTCTTTTTTCTTTTTATTTAGGAGAATTAGATACATATTTTGGATGGATTTTATTTTTCTTAAATTCATGTCAACTGGATTTCAGCATCTTCACGCGCCAATATAAGTGAAACTTACTTCCTGTGCCATGTCAGCTATTTGTGTCTAATAGATACACATTTATTTGATTTCAAGTTTATAATAGGAACACCTCTTAGTTCAAGTATCTACATATGAAAAAAATGGGCAACTTTGAGGGGCTGCATATGTATTCAACCTAATTTTTTATATTACATGAGGAAAAGGGAAGGAAGAGGGGAAAAAAGATCAAGTGCAACCTCATTAAAAAATATCAACTATCATTACAACTAGACTATAAATTTTGATGGTTATAGCGTGACATTATTTTGCACCAAGTTATTTTGTTATTAAAAATTTTACTTTAGATCAATGATTTGACATTCACAAATTTTTTTATGCATACAGTACATGAGATAGGGGTTGAGGCAAAAGAATGCAACAAAGGGCTGTCGTGGGTGGAAACGGAGTGCAGAGGAAGTGTGCCGATCGGGAACTGCCTGGTAGAATGTCAAAAGAGACACGGTTTTGATGTCAAATCCAGCTGTAGAGGAGGCGACCTTGCTTTACCCGCTCTACTCTATTGCTGGTTATGATGACCCGATAGGTCATCTTATGTTTTGAAATCTAATTCTGTGATCCGAAGCCTTTAAAATCTTATTTTTACCCTTCTCGAGTTACGTGCGTGGTCCGGGCGTGTTTCGGAAAAGCTTTTATGTTAAATATTGTGAAAAATATGAAATTTTGCTTTGAAAACTATTTGAGTTGACTTTGGTCATCGTTTTAAGTAAACAGACTCAGATCCGTATTTTGACGGTCCCGGTAGATCTGTATCGTAATTTGGGACCTGGGCATATGCCCGGAATCGAATTCCGAGTTCCCTAGCTCGAGATATGGTATTTTGATGGAAAATTAAAAGTTAAAAGTTTAATGATTTTAAGAATTTACTAATATTTGGTTTTGTTGATACCGGGCTCGTATTTTGGTTCCGGAGTCCGGTACAGGTCCACCATAATATTTATGACTTGTTTGTCGAATTTGGTGAGAAACGGAGTTGATTTGACGTGATTCAGACGTTCGGTTGTTAAAATAGAAGTTTTAAAGTTTTCTCGAAAATTTTATTTGATTTGGCATTCAATTCGTAGTTCTAGGTGTTATTTTGGCGATTTGATCGCACAAACAAGATCGTATGATGTTCTAGGACTTGTGTACATGTTTAGTTTGGAGCCCCGAGGGCTCGGGTGAGTTTCAGATAGGCTACGGGGTGATTTGAACTTAAAAAATCTAGTTTTTGTGCTTCAGTTGATATCTGGTGTGTTCTTCTTCGCGTTCGCGAAGAGTAAACTGGGGCAGGATGATTTCTTAATCGCGAACGCGGTAGCTGGGTCGCGAATGTGAAGCAATGGGGGCCTTACCTTTCACGAACGCGACCAGCTTCTAGCGAACGCGAAGCTTTAGGGACCTGGGGGAGTGATCAGTTATTCTTGTACGCGAACGCGAGCATGGGCTCGCGAACGCAAAGGCCAGGGGGAGAAGCCTTCGCGAACACAAAGGAGGACTCGCGAACGCGAAAGCCACTCAGGCTGCTGCTCATCGCGAACGCGGCAGGCCCTTCGCGAACGCGAAAATGGCCCGACGCTTGTGACTTAAAACAGAAGAGTAGCGAGATGTTTTCCATAATTTCATAACCCTTCCATTAGAACTCGGCCTAGGAGCGATTTTGAAGGGAAAACTCAACATCAATTCATAGGTTTGTGCTATTTAACTCATTTTCTTCCATTTCTAACATCACCTATTAAATTCCTAGCCCTAATCTTTGTTCTTTCATGGTAGAAAACTAGGGATTTTGGAAGAATTGGGGGGTTTTAAGAAATTGGGAATTTAGACCTCAATTTGGGGTCGGATTCCGAAACTAATTATATAATCGGGCTCGGGGGTAAAAGGGTAAATGGATTTTGGTTCGAACCTCGGGTTTTGACCAAGCGGGCCCGAGGTCGATTTTTGACTTTTTGGGGGAAAGTTTGGGGAATCTAAATTTATGCAATGTAATTGATTTCTTTAGCAATATTTGATATTATTGAGTCGCTTGTGAATAGATACGTTTGGTTTGGAGGTGGATTCTAGAGGAAAAGCGGTAATTGAGCATTGAGTGGCTTTTGGAGCGAGATAAGTGTTGTGTTTAACCTTAACTTGAGAGAATAAGACTTGTTTGTCTATTTGCTATATGTTTAAATGTTGGGAAACAACGTATATGTGAGGTGATGAGTACTTATGCGTTGTAGTCGGGTTAAAGCATGCGGGCGGGGCTTGGTTTCTTTCAATTATAGCTTCCTTTGTTCATGTTATCCATGCTTAGACTAGTATTGTTAAATTGATCGTTCTTATTATGTTTACAGATTTTCTGGTGATAATTGAGTATTGATTTAGAAGTTGAGGTTGGTATTGTGGAACCAAATGTTGAAGTAAGGCTTGTACTTGTTATCCTATCTCCCTGTTATTATTTGTTCATTGCATTATGGTAAGGGAGAGTGTTAATGCACGAAGGGTGATGCTGTGCCATATTGTGAGCATTAATGCACGAAGGGTGATATCGTATCATATTATGAGCGTTAATGCACGAAGGGTGATGCCGTGCTATATTGTGAGAGT